TACGTCACTATTTTAATTTTATGTTTTTTTATATAAATATGATTAATACGAATTTTTGGATGCATATACCTAATACTATTTTGTACCATATAAAAATATAAAAAAATTATTTTCAATGATCAAAAGACCCCCATCATTTTTCAGGGGTATTTCGATCATTTTATATTCCGAGAAATATTTTTTATATACATTTTATTTATGCCCCCTATTTTTTAGTACACATGTCCAAAATTTCATTATGATCCGATTTAGATAAAAATAATTAAAATTAAAAAAATGCTATACAATCTGAATCACATGATGAATATCTTACGTTTCTCATTTCACCTATAGCACTATTCATTATAGCTGATTAGCTATTGTTTGCTTTATATATATATATATATATATGAAAAAAGCTTGGGTGAGCCCACTAGCTCACAAGAAAAAATGAGTCCAACGACTGAGATCTGACGATCATGGATGTCCGGTAGTGTTTGAGTTTTAACTTTTTCGTCTACACATCCAAATCACTTGAAATTTTAGGTTGTGTTCTTCTCATCAAAATGCACCAAATAAAAATAGAATAAAAATAATTCGTAAAAAATAAATTGACCAAAATACTCTTGAAACTTTTTAGGGGTATTTTGGTCAATTTATTTCTTGTAAACTATTTTTTTGATATTTTTCGAAGATTCACCTATGTTTTGATAGCTCCAAATTTCAAGTGATTTGGATTTATAAAAAAAAAATATTAAAATTCAAATACTACTAGACATCCGGGATCGTAAGATCGGCCCAGATTCAATCATGCTCGTTGGGCTCATTTTTCCTGTGACCTAGTTGGCTCACCCTAACATCTTCCTATAATATTTGAAAGCGAGTTATACGGTGATGGTGAAGAGCCTCGGCCTCACATAAACCACACCCTCAAAAAAAAAAAAAAATACGATAGGGGAGGTCTACGAGAAAATAATTGCTTTTAAGGAAATACATGAAATTGTAAGTTTTGGATTATGAAACTTTGAAAATTTAATTTAAATTAAATCTCAGAGTATGGAAATCCAAAAATGATCAGTGATGCTAAAAATGTAACTTTTGGATTTTTAAAATCCAAAAATTCAATTTTAATTTTTTTATTTTTAAAATTAGAAAGTATTGAGATATTAAAATGAAAATTTCAGATTTTCAAACTCTAAAAAATTTAATTTCTCAAGTAAATTAATTTTGAAAAATATTGGGGGATGCTAAAATGTAAATTTTCATATGTTTAACAACATAAAGTGGGCAATTTAGTCATTAAAAATAATGACGTATTTATTGTAATAACTGGTAGAAAATGGGTACAGATGTAATGACAAAAACTAACACTAAAATTTAAATAACATTTGAGAAAAGGATGTATACAAATTTTTAATTTAACTATATAAGCTGGTGACTAAAATTACTACTACATAACCTTAGCGGCCTTTTTTCTTTCTCTTGTTTTTGCTTCTAACATTAAGACAATTTGTAACTAATTGAAGGGAACTAAGGTTTTCTCCCCAATAACCTAACTAGGGAGTAAAAGCTTTCTTTTCCTTCTTTTTTTTTTCTTCTTTACAAAGTCACGTGATCTAGACCTCCACCTGCGTCTTTTACATCTATAGGATCTCTCGCGAAAACTATGAATACCTTTATCTCTTGCGAAAACTACTTTGCTTCTTTGCTCATCTAGCGTGCCTTAGGTGTTGTTCTTTTCACCTGCGATGATCCTTGTCGTTGTGTTCCCTCGGCTCCCTTCACCAAAATAAGATTGACAATTATTCCATAAGCAGTCTAACAACTTTTCTAAACAATTGCTAGAATCCTAAAAGTACAAAAAAAAAAACCTAGATCCCCAAAACACTTGAAAGCCCTAAAAATATACACTAAAATTAAAATTAAAATATTACATAAGAATCGAAAATAAAAGTAATTGTCTTTCATCACAGTGCTAATAATGGCAATTTGTTTTTTATAGTTATGGTTCCAATTTGTTTATACCACATCTTGTGGAATTGCAGCTGCCAGCCAATGGATAGGCATGAAAAACCTCATGATGAAGTGAATAATGCACATGAAAGCAGTATGCGGGACCTTGCCCGGCATCTTATTGGCTATATCCTTTACGAGTGATCATTGTTCTTGTTCTTGGTAATTAAGAAATATGTGCTTCACCATCTTTAACTTTTTTGCATTAGGACTTTTGATGTTTTCTACAATTATAATCAATGATGTATTTTTTATGGAAAACAATTTAGCTTCCTTTAATACTTCGCCATATTGCCATACTCTCATTCTCACCACCAAACTGACATGAATAGGGCATATTTGCTGTTAGATCTTCCTCTTTATACCTAAACCAAATGGGGCTCCTTTCTGCTCAGTAGAACATTTGAAATTTTGAATAATTTATTGGTTTGATTGGAATCTTGCACTTCCTGTTTAAAACATGGAATGACTATATAGTTCAAAAGAAATGTCTAATAGTTGAGAACATGCTCTAAAGTAGAGTGGTCACAATCTACTTCTTTATACTAAAATCAAAATGGATTTAAGTAGAACAGGCTAAGAACAGGCT